TTAAAATATTATCTATACTATATTATAAAACATTTGACAAAAACTCTTAAAAATCATTCTTTATGCATGAAGTACTGTTTATTAATACATATTACTAAAAATTTAAGATTACAAGTAAATTGTGCGTAAGTACTAAGTACAACTTATTAAAGCTTCATTTTTAAATTCGTATAATTAATTGTAGATAAATATAATCAAATACATAATAAATATCTCATTTTAAGTATAATAAATTTTAAAATATAATTAGGATAATCATATAGTTTAACAAAATCATTATCTTTATAAAAATTATATTGTTAAGCCAAAATTAAATTACTTCACAATTAGACCTAAATTAAATTATAATAAAAAATTGAACTAAAGAAATTGTGCAAAAAAAACGATAACTTTTAAATAGTTAATTTGATATTAATATCGATATATTTTTTCAAAATTTTATGATATCTTTAAATTTGTTTTTATTCAAAAGTAAAAACATTATCTTTCTCAAAATCACATAAACTGTATTATATTAACAAAAATAAAAAACAAAATAAAACATTAAAATAAAAATGTATCTCACTGCATTACACGAATACCTTATAATATTACATATTAATCAATTCTATCAACTTATTAAATGGAAACAACATGTCATTTCTTGAATTTTATGACAAAATGGAGAAGTTTTAATTTTCCAACAATTAAAGCAAGGATTCTTGCCTCGGGACAACGTTGGAGTCGAAGTAGTTCAAAACAATCATTTGTTAATTTATGATTTTGACATGTGTTTTCAATTTTCATACCTAATTATCAGATCATGTATTAAGTACCGACCATAAAGTATTAGCCCGTTAACATAATCAAACTCAACTTAACCAACCCAACTCGTAAACGGTTATGTTGATTTGGATTATAGTTTTCAACGGGTGTTAGGTTGGGTTAAAATATAATCAGCAGACGTAATTAAGGTTGGGGTTAAACTTTTATAAACCGACATAATTAGGATTGAATTGTTTAAATGTCGTAACTCGACTAATCCAACCCATATGCACCCATAAAGAATCGAATTAAAGATTGGTTTAAAAAAAAATTAACTGATAATTGACCAACTATTTACATACAACAATTTTCATATTTAATTAAGAATATAATAAAAAGTTGACATTACCACAGAATGTATAACATTCAAATCAGTTTGTAAATGTGTATCTAATCATAATATCCATTTTCATAATTAAGAATTAGGTCTCATGTTCTAAATTTTGTTTCATAATTATGATTACTAAGTACTTGGATCATATATATATATATATATATATAGACTTGGGATCATGTGAGATCAATGGTTTTTCATGAGACCCGTAAGACCAATTTTCAACCATTGGATTAGATCTACAATCGTCAGATTTCAACATTTATAAACGCCACGAGACTTCTCAATAATTACAAAATTGCCACCGTGCAACTTTAAACCATTAGATCATTAGTTTATAAAGTTGATCAATGAATATAAATTGGTCTTACGGGTCTCATGAAAAACCCTTGGTCTCACGTGAACCCGATCTTATATATATATATGTGTGTGTGTGTGTGTGTGTGTGTTGGACCCAACCTTTCTCCTCAACGACTCTTTTAGAAAGTAAACCCGGGATTTCATTGGGTAGCTCCCTCTCGACATTCTAGGACAAGATGTGTCTATCAAGCTTTCGTTGGAGGGACGTGTTAGAGTCTCAGATCGGTTAGACTTGAACCATTTCTCATGTATATATGTTGGAACTTTCTATTTCTTTTTGCGGGCTCTTTTGAAAAGTAATATTAGGCTCCACAGACCACATATTCACATATTTAATTACTAGAAGGATACTCGAACAATCCTGCGAGATACATCTTGATTTTAATGTTTCGTTTTTTTTGTTACAGTCGATGTTATAATACAGTTTTATGTGATTTTGAGAAAACGATAATATTTTTCTTTTTGAATAAAATATAAATATGAATATATATATATATATATATGTATATATAATATATATATATATATATATATTATAACTAGAAGCGTACTCGCGCAATGCAGCGAGATACATCGTGATTTTAATATTTCATTTTATTATTTATCTCAGTCGATGTTATAATATGGGTTTATGTGATTTTGAGAAAACGATGATGTTTTTATTTTTGAATAAAATATATGTTTGAAGATATCACAAAAATTTTACAAAAATATATCGATATTAGTATCAAATTAACTATTTGAAATTTTTGTGTAATTTTTTAATTCAATTTTTTTATAATTTAATTTATATACAATAACGAAGTAATTTATATTTGGTTTAATAATATA